TCAGCGTGTGTCCCCCCAGCACACTCAGCGTGTGTCCGCTCCAGCACCCCCAGCCTGTGTCCCCCCAGCACCCCCAGCCTCAGCTTTGTCAGAATCCCCTACATCTGCTCTTTGAAACAACCTACAAAAATTTGCCTTGATATATGCAATCAGGTATGCCAAGACATTTCGGTGATATTTCAAAAGACTTGAGGATGGCAGCCCAGGTGAACCTCTATTCGACCTGTGGAAGGTTTACTTCACTGAACTAACCACTTCCAGGCCACAAAACCCCCTCAGAGCCCCGACTCCAGAGACCAGGAAGAGGTCAGAGTGGAAAAGAAAAGTTCTAAAAATGCATGAATTCATGAGTGGGGAGGAAATGACCAAACTACTGAAAGAAAAGGAACAAAGGTTGACGAAACAAGGAAGAAGGCAGAGCGGAAAGTGGAATTGAAGAGAAAGAAAAGAGAGGCATTAGAAAGGAAACAACAGAATGAGGAAAAGGGGCAAAATGAAGTAAAGAAAAAGCAACCGGAAGAAAAAAGAAGCAACAACAAGAGAGACAGAAACAGAAGGAGCAGAAAAAAGCTAGAAAGAGATGGCAGAGAAGAAGCGTGAAAACAGTTTTAAAGGGTTATTTTGGAAGCAGAAAAAAGAAAGAGCCTGAATAATAACTAATAACTCAGAAACGTCCGATGATGAAGACTGGATGACGACTCCGATGACATCAGATGAGTCGTGGAAATGAATTTGAACTGTCCATGGCACGTGGTGGGAGTGTGTGTCCTGTGTGTAGTGAGTCTGGGGGGATAAATGGATTACAGTGTGAAATGTGCCTTGCATGGTATAATTTCACCTGTGTAAATATAAATTTATTGTCCATATCACAGGTGGATATTGAAAGTGTAAATGGTTTCACATGTGACTTTAGCATGTAGAAAAGAGAGTGAGAAAGAGAGAGTGGGAGAGAATGCACAACATTGTTTTAGTTTTAGTCAGTTTAATGTATTCATTTGAGTGTGTGTGTTTGGGGGGGGGGGGGGGGGA